GAGCATATGCTGGAGCGAATGATGCGGATAGAGAAGCGAATGGTTTTCTTCCTCAGGTCGGATAGGACGGACGCCACCGTCGACGGAGTTGCTCTTTCGGAACGTGACAGAAGACTTTTAGTGGCGGGTAAAACCATAAGACGTTCAAATGACAAAAAGTCAGCATAGGCGATGGTCGACAATATAAAAGATCGATGTAAATCGAACGCGAATTGCCACTGTGCGGAAAATTATTTGATGATATGCGAACTCGACACCGATCGATTGTTACAGCAGATTCATCAAAAGGACATTTGCATAGCCGGATTGAAACAGCGGCTGAAAGTGGCAACGGACGAGACGGAGGACATGCGAAATCAAGTGTCGCATATGATCGACCAAGTAGACGATCTGGAAATGGAACTGAGTAGTCTCGAAGATAGGTTGGAAAGAGTTTAGGAGAAGAACGTATAAATGTGTACGGGAGGTCTGTTTTTAGTTTTCTCCACAACAAGGCAAAATAAATAATGAATATCGTGGAAGTGCCCGTCATGGTTCTTTCTGACATCGTTCGTCGCGCGGGCACGGACGCGATCGGAAGGCTCGAACTCGCCAACGTGTGCTCGGAATTCGAACGAGCCGTCGAATACAAGACGCCGAGAAACTCGGTCGTCGAGGAAGTTCTGAAAGCAATGGAGTGCGACAAGGTGCGCGTGACTCGCGGAACGTTGCACCGTCTGCTGTTCGAAGACATCTTCGACGCGGGCTACCGTCCACGGGGAATGCACGTGTCGATCGTGCACGACGAGAAGGATGCCGAAGAGCATTCGATTCACCCGTCGTTACCGATGATAATGCTGGCGCGCCTCGCCTCGCTCACCTTGCACAAGGCCAACCTGTCCGACACCCTGTTCGGTCGGGTCATGAACAAGTTGGACGGTCTGAAGTACGTGGAACTGGATGACTGCCGAGGCGATCCGTTTGGGCCGAGGGCGAGGGTAACGAGAAAGACCGTGCCCTGGACGCTGAGATTGGTCGACATGGAATTTTCCCTGAAACAGTTATACGACACGTTCAGACCGGAGGAGGGAGAAGACGCTCACCTGAGATACGTAGTGTGCGTAGGATGCAAGATACACCGAAAGCGAGGAAGGATGATGGAAGATTGGATTAAAATTTACACCGACTTTTACGAGGAAAATGTAGAGGACGACACCGTGAGACACGCGAATTTGGTGGCGGTGAGCAATCGGTGGGAGAAAACGGAACCCATGGAAATATGTGCGCGCAGGTTGTTGATTTCGATGGACGACCCGGAGAGTACGAGATATCAAACGCTGAGCAGATTGGCCTTCGAAAGACTACTCGATAACGACGAACTTTTCGACGAAATTGAAGTGTTGCGTTTCGGCATAGACAAGCGTGACGGTCCGTTGGACGCATCGTTGGCGCAGGTATTTCAACTGCAACAGAATCTGCGACATGTGAGCATTTACTACACCGAGATCACAGACGAATTCTTCGAACAATTGATTAACACGTGCGAAAACTTGACATATGTCAGCTTATTCTGTTGCCAAGGACTCACCTTCAAGAACGTTCGAATTGCCCCAAGAAAAATGCAATATCAACTTTCTCTACCCACCATGAGCTTCGATCCAGTGGCTTTGATGAACGCTTGCGCACCTCATCCGCAATCCTATCCGCTGCTGCAGTTGAACCTCACAGCATGTCATTTCGACAAAAAAGTGATGGTGAATTTGGTCAGGGAACACGGATGGTTTCGTGTATTCGTAAAGAACGTTTTCACCAAAATGTGGAAAGACGTACGTTTGCTTCGTGATGTGTAGATGATGGCTTAACGATAAAATAAATTGGACACGAAAACAAAAACAAACAAAAAATGTTTCTTTTCTTTCTTTTGTTTTATTCTGGAAACTTTAGATTTAACAGTAAATTTACAGGTATACGATAGATAGGTATGCGCTCGTCGACAAACATCCCAGCTAACACAAAACGTTAAAAAAACGTTTTGAATTGGTTTTAGTTTGGGTTTCGTTTTTGTGAAACGTTTTCAAAACGTTTTTAAAACGTGCAAGTTAAAAAATTGTGCTTTCTGATAAGAGACTTTTGCACCAAAACGTTAAAAAAACGTTAGAAAAACGTACGCAAAAAACTTGCAAACAAGTGTGTAAAATAGAACGAAATCACAACGTTCTGTAAACGTTATATCACAACCAACTTTTCAGCAATTTTCACAAAAATCGTTATCGTTTTTATAAAACGTTTTTAAAACGTCGCTGTGTAAACCTTGCCTTTTGATTGCAGATTGTTTGCACCAAAACGTTAAAAAAACATTCAAAAAACGTACGCAAATAAACTTACAAACAGGTGCATAAAATAGAACGAAATTACAACGTTTACAGAACGTTATACCACAACCAAATTTTCACTAACTTTCATCAAAAATGTTATCGTTTTTATAAAACGTTTTAAAAACGATTTTAAAACGTCGCTGTGTAATATTGCCTATTGTTTGCAGATTTAATGCACCATAACGATATAAAAACGTTATAAAAACGTACGCAAAGACTCCTCAACAAATGTATAATTATAACGAAATCACAACGTTCACGGAACGTTATATCAAAACCAAATTTTCACCAATTGTCAGAGAAATTGTTATCGTTTTTATAAATCTTTTTTAAAATGATTTTAAAACGTTGCCATATATTGCGTTTTATTTGCAGTTTCCTTGTACAAAATGTTATAAAAACGTTATAATAACGTAAGAAAAATACTTACAAACACGTTTATAAACACGTTTATCACAATTAAATCACAGCGTTTACAATGTTATCTCGCAACCAAAAATGACCACCACTTTATTCCAGAAATTTAATTAACATATTTTATAAAGACCAAAGATACCCAATGCTACACCCAAACAATTAACATAGGTACAATCAAATTTAAACCAATTTAT